CTACGATATTTTCCTTTCCGGGGGTATGCTTGATTACCAGATTATATTCTTGCAGCTTGAGTGCCCATCTTATTAACCTTGGGGATAAATTTTTTCCCTGAGTACAATCTAGTTACCGCCGCATGATCAGAATATACTGTTATCGGCGCCTTTCCAAAATAGACTCGGAACTTTTGCACTGCTAACAGAACTGCAAGTGCCTCTCTCTCGGTCGCGGAATAGTTTCTTTGTGTTTGATTTAAAGTTCGGCTAAAAAATGCCACGGGCTGCTGATTTTGCGAAAGTACCGCTCCTACCGCATAATCCGAAGCATCCGCTGAAATTTCTAAATTTTCATCCTTTTCAGGAAATTTCAACACAGGGGCTTGCGTTAATGCTTGTTTTAATTTTTCGAAAGCACTATTGGCTTCGGCCGTCCACGAGAATCTTGCCTTTTTCCTTTTTAATTTTAACAATGGCTCAGCGATAGCCGCAAAATCTTTTATAAAGGACCTATAATATGAACAAAGTCCTAGAAAAGAAGAGAGCTTCTTTGCCGTGTTTGGAGTCGGATACTTTTGTACAGCGATTATTTTTGATTCATCTGTCTCGATCCCTTTTTGCGATATTTTGTAACCTAAATATTTTAATTCAGGGGCTGCAAATTTGCACTTTTCGACATTAACTTTTAGACCGGCCTCATTTAATAAAGAAAACACCTGTCTTAAATCCTGTACATGTTGGTCGAGATTATCACTAGTAATAATGATATCGTCTAAATAGATAAATGTGGACTTTCCAAGAACAGGTCTTAACACAATGTCCATGCATCGCTGAAATGTTGCCGGGGCCCCTGAAAGGCCAAACGGCATACGCAAAAATGCATAAGTGCCAGACTTGGTTATAAAAGCAGTCTTAGGCACGTCCTCAGGCCTGACCCCTATTTGAAAATAACCAGTCGTCATAAATTTGGTTGATTTTATGTTCCTTAAAATTTCTTCTATGATCGGTAACGGATATACCGGATATTTCGTTATGGAATTTAATTTACGGTAATCAATAGCGAATCTCCACCTTTTTGGATGCTCCAAAGGATAATCATTATTTTTCTTACATAAAACCACCGGGCTAGCATAACTACTTGAGATGGGGGCGTTATGATCTTTTTACGTAGCATATCGGTAATATGCCATTCTATAATTTTTTCCTTATTCTTATCATACCGGTATGGTTTTTGACGAACTGGCAATGCATCTCCGGTGTCAATACTATGGTTAGTAACCTGAGTAAATCCTGGAATATCACTAAATAAGGAAGCAAATTCACTTACCACTTGTCGGATTCTATCTTGCTCGTCATTAGGCAGGTGGTCAAGATTTAACCTCGGCGGTTCAACCTTTTCTACACGCACTGGTTTCATTGTCAGCTTAAGGGACGCTTCATTAAAATCCAGTGTAGCTTGTGCGTCTGAAAGAAAATCTATTCCTAAGATTAAATGTGCTTGCAGATTCTTTACTATAAAAAAAACATCACCTTTACTTGTTCGTCCTTGATACGGATATACAAAGGTACTTTACCTACGCACTTACATTGTTCTCCTTGCGCCGCTAATACTGTCGTATTATCCGCATTATATATGCGGTATTTGCGAAAATACTTCCTAAAAAAGACTTCTGCCACACAGGAACACTGCGCGCCGGTATCCAGGAGTGCGGTGGCCGGGATATTATTCACCAAGACTTCAATCTTCGGAAGAGTCAAATTTTTCACCATTACTGTATTTAACTTGTAGGAAGAGGGGTTTTCGTGGCCTTCGGATTTCCGCACCCTCTCGTCAGCAGAAATCCGTTTTAGTTTAAATTATTTTTCCTTTCCGTGCTTTCCTTCTTTTTTCCCCTGGCCTTGAGACTGTTTTCCTGGGTTGCTATTGAACTGTCGACGTTCGCCGGCTGTTTTTGAATGCTCGGGTTTCCTTGCCAACTGATTCGCTTTTTCTCCGTAGCCATGTGTTTGAGTTTGCTGTAGTCTTGGCGTACCAAATTGGTTTCGCTGTTGATATTGGCGTCTTCTTTCGACGTCCGCCGTTCTTCTACTTTCAAACTGGATTGCTAGCTCAAATAACTTTTCCAGTGTAGTCGGATTTCTTAATTCAATAAAGTCTTGCACTTGGGGTAGTAACCTCGGCAAAATCACTTGAATTATTTCAGGATCCGGACGGTTTCCATACAAGAGCTTGAAAACGTGAATTTTTCTTAAAATAAAGCTCGAGAGGTTTTCGATTCTTTGTTGATATATACTGAAAAGTTCCGTTTCTAATTTCGCACGATCCCTTACAACAGGGAAGGCTTTTAGTAGGGCAGTCTTGAAATTTTCGTAAGTATAGGTGGGACTTCCTGCTTGACCCAAGAGACTTCTGCCGATACATTTGAACCAGTTAAGCGCTTGGCCCCTCAAAGCGCTGGTAGCTAAGGTAACTTTTTGAAACTCGTGCACGGGGTAGAGCATGAAGTGGTCATCCAATTTTTCCAAAAAACTGGTTACCGGTGAGTTTCCATTAAATGTTGCTTCTGGTTTCATCGAAGCGCGCATGGTCTGGACGATGTAACCCAAATCCTTCCAGGGCGGCAGCTGGCATTTCTGGATTCTGAGCCGTTTCTGCAGGCAGCACAGGTTCTTCTTGAAACTCGGCCATGGTTATTCTTCTTCGTTGGGCGCCACTATCAGGTTCAATGTTCCTTCTAACCTTCTTCGGGAACATACAAGGACCTGACTCGGAACAGAGAGCTTACTAAAGCTATGTTCACTAATTGTAGGTAAGTAGACAGGATACAGACGAAGGGTATACAAAACCCTTTATTTTTCTCTTATATACAATAACTTCCGTACTTCGGAATACAATGACCCTCCACTCGGGGTCTAACGTAAAAGTATAAAATAAAACTAAACTCTAATTTAACTTTAGAATAATAACGTGGAAGATTGGCCTTATAATAACAGGAAGCGTATGTAGCACAGAGACTGTGAACACTACAATACGTTTAATTTATCAAGAGGATTAAAACCTCTGGCCTGGAAGGCAAAACAGCAACTGCGTAACTTCTAAGGTAAGCGGCCTGCTTCGACTCACTGCTTCCTCTCTCTCGCTTGGCAAAAAGGCCACACACTTAAATACTTGGCGTTCGCCAGAACAACTTTGCATAAAAACCTTAAACGCTTATAATTCTGGCCGGAAGTAGAAAATAAGAAGTGATAGTAAAGATTTAAAATAAAATAAACGTTAGTAAAACTTAAGATCCTTACACTACTATATAATAAAGACAACTTTACAACAACAAAAAAAAAATTATTTTGTGGACTGTATCATAACTAAAAATCTAAATCGAAAATGATAAATTCCCGACCATACGGGACAAAAACATGTATGCTACGCTAGGAGTTCGAATCTTAACTAACTAAAATTGCGCAGAAACAATGCGCTGTACATAACTTTGAAGTTGCGCAGAAACAATGCGCTGTACATAACTTTGAAGTTTCGCAGAAACAATGCGCTGTACATAACTTATATTGCCGCGTAGGAGGCAACAGTTTTTGAAATCATTTTTACGTATCAGGATGCTCAGGATAAAACTGATCTTTTCTGTTAGTCACAAAATACGTAAGCATTATCATTGTTTTGCATGAAGATATTAATTAGAGTTAGCAGTTTATTACCACACAGACTTTTAAATAATAAACGATGATAATTCTTACCGTTCTTTTAAACACAAAACATTTTCGGAGGCTAAGATTAGTAGCTAAGATTTGTGTAGAGTTTTTTTTTTCCTTCCAGTAAACGACTTTAATATAAATAAAGTCATTAATGGAAATTTCTTAATGTATATATTTTTTTCTGTTTCTGTTTTAATTTCACCATACAAGCCTAAAATAGTTATCCTGTTATCTTCGTGCATTCGATAAAGTATAAATGTTTTAAACTTAAATGTTAAAAATTATTTCTAACTTATACAGTAGTTAGTAGATTTAATGTCTCTATCGTGAAGCAGTGCTCTTTTTCATATATTTGTAAACATCACAATGTAAAATTAATACTTGTTATCCAAATGTTGACTTAATTTTAAACTAATTTACATACGAAGAAAATGAAAATTATGTAAAGAAAATGAATCAAGAGCGCCTGATTTTCATTCTGTTAACAATATACTACTATCCTAATAAGTTCTACATTTTAATTACTTGGAAAAAGTGAGTGAAAAGGGAGCTAGCTTTGAAAAAGTGAATTTGATATTGTGAATAGGAGCTATTAATTCAACTTTAAAGTTTTTCTTCACAGAACAGTCTATGTAACTCGGAACATACTTTTTATTCATTCATCGAAGAAGGGGGAAAAGGAACTTTTGACGAAAAGAAGTATAAAATACTTTCAAAAGCCAGTCAAATTCATCATATTTTATCCTACAAACGATAATTTTGTAATGTATTATGTTCCTTCTTTTCACGTGACTTCGTGGTGTAATTAGAAGCTCATCCCGCCAGCAAGCATGAGGTTCGGAGTTCGAATCCCAGAGAAGGCAATGCACATTTTACATGAGGCCCGCTCCGAAAAATCCTAATAATTCTACAGCTTTTTCAGCGATCCTCTTCAATGACTAGAGAAATGGAAAATAGAATCATAAAATTTTACACTAAAAAATTATAATTACAATTATTTCTAAGCAATGACAATGTTAGATATTTAATCTTTGGATTTCTGCTCATAAAAATATGAATCAGTATTGCAATGAAATTAACTTACTCACTTAAGTACGGCGCATTCTCAGGACCACCAACAGCGAAGCGGTAAAGTCGCTAACTCTCGAAAGTCCTCTACGAAAGCATCTCTCGCCTTAGGCAAATACCCTTCGCGTTCTTTACCATAATCAAGTAAACCAAAACAAACTGTTCATTCTCAGGAATCAATAAATCTTATTTATATTATGATTATGATTTAATTCTCCTTTGTTTCTTTTTCTTAATTTTGCAAGACTTCTTAGATTTATTTTTATTTTATTTCGTTTTTTGCAGATAATCCTTATAACGTTGATAGCCAGCATAAAAGCGGCTCCAGTGTCTCAATCTTTATCAGTTCATGATGATGGTTCTTATAGATTTTATTACGAGACTGGGAAAGAAGGTGGCAGCCATAGTCGAACTGAAGTGCGGAATGCTGATGGGGTCGTGATTGGCAAGTTCTCTTACGAAGACCCCACAGGCGAGATGCGAGAAGTCAATTACAGGGCGGATGACTCAGGTTACGTTGCTAAAGGTGACGTCAGCGTCGAAGGTGCTCCTAAAGGTCAGTTTCCAGTTATCATTGATGATAAGCAGCAAGAAATAGCCACAACAGCTCCACTTGTCCAAGAAGATCAGACTCAGCCTCCAGAGACACCTGCACCAGAACCAGCTGCTGAATCTGCCAATGAAGAAGAGCATGACAAAGACGATATTAAAGATTATTCGTTCGAAGAACAAGTAGGAGACCAACCAGAAGCTTTCCCAGAGGGCTATTTCCTTGAACATAAATTCCAGGGACTCAGAAGACTTCCTGAACCTACAAAGGAAGATAAATCTTCATCAGTGGAACCTCCAGAAGAAAAACAGACACCACCACCTGAAGAGAAAGAACCAGAAAAGCCAGTAGAGACCTCGATTGAGATAGCTAAGAGGGAAATGGAGCTGTTCATGCATTTGAGACCCTTTCCGAATTTTCCGCCGAAAAAATGGGATCCATCCATGCTACATCAACCTGTGTATGTATTTGCTTACCAGCAGCCCGACGCTTATGGGTACCATTACTACTTCTAAATCCGTGCTAAAGTTGTTCATTCCTAAAACTTTATGGCTCTCCTTTCTTTGCTATTGTTAGAATGATTGTATTTATGTCGTATTCAAGGAAAATACAGTGGGGAATTTTAAATCGAAAATTTCAATTTTTGTTTTTTACAATCATGTGTTTGGGACATTGTTCATTGACAGTTTTATAATTTTATGATAAGAAAGCATGTCATGTTCTTAGATGGGAATCTTCAGATACTCTTAAATAATTAGTTGAAAAAACATGAGTAGGAGTAAAGCTGTTGTTCTGAGGGAGATATTTCTGATTTGTTTGTAATAAATACATAAATAAAGTAGATCACCTCATCAACAGTTGTGTGCCTTTTCAATAGATCACCCCAAGTGCAAAAATTACATAATCCATATTATTTGGTATATTCAGACACAAGATTTGAAGATAAATTTTGGAAATATATTTTATTTTTTTCAAAACTGTACTTTATTGTACAAAAAGTCATACACACAATATGAAGCGGCCTAAGGGCTTTTATGTACCTCTCATACCATAAAAAAGCGTTGCCCTTTAACGTGGTAAATAAGTTTTGCAAAATATACTTTCATCTGAGCTTCTTAATAATATACTTAATAATATATTTATTATTAATTTATTATTATTATGTACTTCTTAATAATATATTTATTATTTTAATTATTTTATAAACAAAATACGATTTGCAAAACTGCTAACTTTAGTTCCTGTTCACATTTTGTTCTCTGTCAGAAATAAAATCTATTGGTTATGATGAAATCTGTACAAAAATGCAAATTGCAATCCTCTCTCTCTCTCTTATTTTTTTAAATTCTATTCAAATTGTAGAGTTCCTCACTTTGTAAATGCTAAGTTATTGTTGAACGTGAAGAATCTTAAGAACTGTTAAGCGAATAATCGCTTGAGTTCATGTGACAAGAAACAGCAAGATGGAAGGGTAAATAGCCCTTTATTATTCAAATAAGATTTACAGAGCTCCGTCTTGGAGTGTACAATAAAAGCCGACACTTCGGCTTGAACTTAAGAGGCTAAAAAGTAAACTAAATCTAATCTAAACTAAGAGATATAGCCGAAGCTATCAAGATTCTAACCGAGTTGGCCCCTTAACGCTAATTGACTGCGAAGCTATCAAGGGCCTGAGTACGGCCGAGTGTAATAACAGCTTTGAGAGAGAGTAGCCAACAAGGCGAACGCGCGCAAATCAGAAACTCTGATTCTCTCTAACTCAGCAAGTAGAACTTCGCGGTTAAATACCGCTCTTCCTCATTATGTATTCAGACGTGATTTTAAAACTACGTTCTGGCCGGAAATAGTAAGTTGAAGTTAAGAATCGACCAGAAAGCAACTTAAAATTTAACTGTTAATAAAATTAACATAATCCTTCCTTACAAAATAATAATTTTCTTTTTCAACCAGTAATATATCATTTTAATATCTGGATCTGGAGATGTTATTATTTTCAGTTCGAAATAAAATACTACTTGTCATAAATAGCCATTGCTGCCAGTCGACGACGAAAATGTCTTTCTGTTATAAATTAACACATTACTTTTTTTATTAAATTAATACTTTATTAACACATTACTTTTACAACATCAGTTCCGGCTAAAAAATAATACATTAAACTATTCAACTTAAAGCCCTTTTTCCTGCGAAAGTATTCCTCTCCCTTATACATACATAGCTGCCAGCCGTTCTGGAAAGTAACTAGTGAAAGCCTTTCTTGAGATGCGTCAAAACACACTTGCAACGTTGGAACAATTTATGGGCAACATTGCCTTATAGGTTGCCTTCCATTTCAACGGCACCAGGAAATGAAAAGAAATTTCATTGCAACAGAACGGGCAAAGCTCAATGATGTGAAAGAGTAAAGACAGCAGTCATTATCCATGTGCTAAAAAGTTAGGCAGATATATAAGTGCCAAATTTCCAGATGGAAAAATTTCAGTACCTCAACTTAAATATTGGAGTTCAATGTCTGCTTCTGAAGCAATTCCACGGTGTATTACTTTTACATTAATAAATGCGATTATATTCTCTTTGCTTTAGATGGCCGCTGCTTAACTTATCAAGACCACTGTTTCTTCTTATTGCCTTTGCGAACATACTGGAGTCCTGAGTAAGAAAAGGAAGTTTACTTAAAACTATGTTCCTGCAAATGTAGAAGATACGGCAGAAATGGGAAGAGTTTAATTCTCCTTTATTCTTCACACAGTTTACAATTGTCCCCGCGCTTCGGGATACAAAGACCAGTACTTACTGAAATGTAAAAATAACAACTAAAACTAATTAAATTAAATAAAGCTAAACTCAAATAGTTTACAAAGACTACTAACGCGAAGATTGCCTTTTAATCTTTACGCATATAGTACGCAGAATGCGGGAAAACTACAATACGTCTTCAATATCAAGAGGACTAAATTCTGGCCTTAAAGGCGGGCAGCAACTGAAAAGCGCGCGTGAGGTAAGGCAGCGAGAAATCTCTCTCTCTCAACTCACTCCTTCTTGGCTAAAAGCCACAACTTAAATACTTAACAGTTTGCAAGCTCAGTTTACATAACTAAAACTAACCGCGTTTATTCTGGCCGGAGGTGGATAATAAGATAGAACAGTAACGATTTAAAATAAGCGTTAGTAAAACTTAAAATCCTTACAAACTTTCTTTAAGATTAGTGAACCATGACCTCGCATTTGGCATTTTATTGCTTTTCCTGACAATTTTCACACTCGTACCACTAACTTTTAACTTCGTCAGTTATCTCAAATATGGGAGAATTTCTGGTCATTTCCAACAGGCTTGGCAATAACTGTTCAAATTTCCTTGTATTTCTCCGCCAGTATGTAACACATGATTTTTGCAAAGCTTTGGTTTTAATTCATAGCATAAAATGAAATGATAAGCATCCATATTAAAATTCAGTACATGTGAAACAAAAAGAACAGTAACAAGGTCGTTTTGAGGAAAACTGATCATACGTTCCATGTTTGAAGTGGCATATGCTGTTGCAGAACGATCTCATCGTAGTTGGTCTTGCACCCTGCCTTTCCAAAATACCTTCCGCTACTCAAGCTTACAAACTCTGGATAATGGCTATTCAGGTAGAGGCTTGCTGCATTATATTTCATATTTCTGTAGGTGTTTTCATCCAGTTTTTATTCAAAACTTAATTTTAACAAGATCTGATACTTTACGATTGACAAGCAACGATGGGAATACCGATTTTCTATTTTTTTGTTAAAAATATGCTTTAAGACACTAGGGGAGGGGAAATTAAAGAACCAATTGTAAAAAATCATTTTGCTTTACTTAACCAGTAAACTGCAATCAGTTGGTAGCAAGTTATGATGTAATAAAGTGGTATTCACCTTCGCTACACAGAAATATGCAAGTTTTTGCTCCTCTTCTTTTGGCATGTGTGGAAAGCGGAGCAAGGGAGGATTTCAGATTCTGGTTTCAGGTATAGTACAAGGAGCTGGATAAAGGTTTTGCTTGTGGAATGTTGGACATGTTGCAGGAAAAGACCTTTAATAGATTGTGAGAAAAGGCATGCAATTGGAAGAATGACAGCACAACAGACACTGACCTAAAAGTATCCCAAAGCATCTTATCAAGAATATGAAAACGGTTTAAAAAGACTATCGATTTATGTATATAATCGGGTCTAAAAATGGGTCGCATCAAACTGTCGGGATCTTTATTTGACAAGGATTAGTAAGAGAAATAGCCAACTGACGTCATTCCAGACTGCAAAGAAGTTCGCTGTAGCTACAAGAACTCTAGTGTCCAAATGTACCAAGAGCCACATGCTGTACTAAGGAAGACTGTGTGCAAGGAAACCGGTAACGCGTGTCCCACAAACTCGAGCTGCGTAATGGTCTAGTTGCAGTGGTGTAGAGATCGTATTTGGAGTACCGTGGATTGGAGTCAAGATCTCTCTACTGAAGAGTATCGATTTTGTTTCGAGAATGATCCCAGACTTATTGCATTCTGGAGCGAGCAAAAACACGCAATAAGCCTGAAAGCTTGCGTCAAAGGTATCGGTACAAAGATAGTGGATTCATGGTATGGGGGGGGCATCAATTTTAAAATTCGTATCAACTATTTGTCTAACCAGTGTAACTATGAATGCTAAAATGTACACCGTGGCTCTTCAACCTTGCGTCGAGTTTTTTAAGGATGCAATCGGTAAAAAATTCCTCATAAAACACGATCATGCTGATCCCCAAAGTGCTGCACTTGTGATAGTTTATCTTTAGGCCGAAAGAATCCAGCGAAAGGCGTGTCCCAACCTAGAACTCTGTACGAGCTTCAAGGCGCTATCTATTGTAAATATACTTTATTACCGCATAAATTCCTGGACTATCTAATACCTTATTCATTTTTTATGTGCATCTCTAAAAGTTTTAACACTAACTTTTCACTTTCCCACTATCACATTTCCTATGTTCTTATTTAAATGTATATTTTGCAGAAATAATTCTGCTTTTTCAAGGATAAGTTAGGTATGACAAAATAATGATCTTGTGCAAGTTCCATATTCTTAGCTGCAAAATCGTTCGAATTATATGAGTTTTATAGCTTTTTTTTTTTTTTTCAGTTTTCCCCGCCAGGGTACATTTACTATACTGACAAGAAATTCGAAACTAGCTGATGATAATAAACGTCATAAAAGAGACAGTTGAGCATTTCGACAGTCCTTTAAATCAGGGCTGTGGAGTCGGTAGGGAAAATGACCGACTCCGACTCCTGGAATTTGAAAAACTCCGACTCCCTCATATATACACATGGGTGCAGCATATTTTTTTAATATAAAAGAAGCAATAGATGCTACAGAAAAAATTGATAGCATAGCAAGTTATTTATATTAATTATCATTTATAATGAAATGGAAAAACTGGCATTAGTTACTTCTAAGAAACAGTTTAGCATAGGCAAGATCTTCTTTGTTGGAGGACCATAGATCCGATTTGATAAACTTCAGAGCTGAGAAGAGTCTTTCGACACTGACTTCAGTAGGAGGAAGATATGTTACTGTTAGGGCTACTCTTTTAACTTTTCAGGATAGATTTTTATAAGTTATAAAAAGGTGTGTCTTGTAAGAGCAATCATATTTCTCTATTTCTTCAAAGACCGTGTAGAAATCTTGTTTGTATTTCTTTATTTTTATATCTAAAGGTTCTTTCTTTTCATTCGCTTTGCCTTAGCTTTTTCAATATTATCCAAAAATATTTCTCAAAATCTAATTCATCACTGAAAGAGGATGATAGAGACCCAGTTGCAATTTCTGCTGTTTGACTGTCATTATTTGAATACTCCAAAT